GATCAGTCGAGGAGGGGATCGAACCCCCACCCCTCACAAATCCCTGTTTTTTTTATATTCGAAATCATAGGAAACGGCCACGATGATGGCGATCTTTGCGTAATGCCACGTCGGAGGCCACAGATCAGTCGAGGAGGGGATCGAACCCCCACCCCTCACAAATCCCCGGTTTTTTTTTTTTGAAAGCATAGGAAAAGGCCACGATAGGAGGCCAGTGATCAGTCGAGGAGGGGATCGAACCCCCACCCCTCACAAATCCCTGTTTTTTTGTTTCTTCGAAATCATAGGAAAAGGCCGGGGGATGGCGATCTTTGTGTAATGCCACGTAGGAGGCCACGGGCCGTACATTTGGAGGGGTGCAGCGTTTGTCAAACGCTGGACCCTTGTCCACGGGCCGTGCACCCCAGAGGGGTCGAGCGTTTCTGAAACGCTGGACCCCCAAACAAAACACGGCCGGTGGGCGGGGGTCCAGCGTTTGTCAAACGCTGTACCCCCACCAATGCATCAGCCGGTAGGCGGGGGGCCCAGCGTTTGACAAACGCTGGACACCCCGTCAATGCATCGGCCGGTAGGCGGTGGGTCCAGCGTTTGACAAACGCTGGACCCCCGCCCACGGGCCGTGCTTTTGCAGGGTCCACATGAAGGACAATCGTTGGACCCTCGTCCACGGGCCGTGCACCCCAGAGGGGTCCAGCGTTTCTGAAACGCTGGACCCCCAAACAAAACACGGTCGGTGGGCGGGGGTCCAGCGTTTGTCAAACGCTGTACCCCCGCCAATGCATCGGCCGGTAGGCGGGGGGTCTAGCGTTTGACAAACGCTGGACCCCCCATCAATGCATCGGCCGGTAGGCGGGGGGTCCAGCGTTTGACAAACGCTGGACCCCCGTCAATGCATCGGCCGGTAGGCGGGGGATCCAGCGTTTGACAAACGCTGGACCCCCGCCCACGGGCTGTTTTTTGCAGGGTCCACATGAAAGACAAACGTTGGACCCTCACCAATGGCATGGCCCGTGGACGGGGGTCCAGCGTTTGTCGAACGCTGCCCCCCCCGCATACCGGCCGACACATTGACGGCTTTCCAGCATTTGACTAACTCTGGAACCATGCTAATGGGTCGGCTGACAGGCGGGGGGGCCAGCGTTCGACAAACGCTGGACCCCCCGCCTGCCGGCCGAGGCATTTGCGGGGGTCCAGCGTTTGTCAAACGCTGGACCCCTCCATAAGCACAGGCCGCCGCCGGGGTCCGCCGTTTGTTAAACGTTGTGCTCCCCCCCCTCCCCGCCCACCGGCAGTGCTTTTGGAAGGGGGTCCGACGTTTGACAAACGCTGGACCCTCGCCGCCTCCTTGTGCAAGGTTCAGGTCCAAACTCTTCGGGGCTCTACTTCTTGTGCTGTCGGCATGTGCCTTGCGATTGCTTCTGTTGATGCAATGTCCCATCTTGTGCTGCGGGAGATAGAGATAGAGATAGGTGACATTAATGCATCCCTCGTCATTTTTCTTATGGATATCTCATCCAGGGAGACGTCGTAAGGGTTCAAATGATGTGGATAAGAGGTACAACAAAAGGTCGAAACTGTATCGCGACAAGGCGTGGACTCTCGACTGGGTCGGAGTGGCCGGCGAGTCCGGGTGCGGTGCTGCTGTGTTTTTGACGGAGGACGAAGGGGCGACCTGGTACTGTTGTGGTGGCATCATCAGGTCTGAAATTGACAAGGCAACGACGGAGAAGGGCAAGGTCGACGAGCGAGAATTGAGGAAGTTCTTCCTCACTTCGGTGTACGATGAGCAGGGTGCCGACTGGGTCAAGRCTGACCACAAGGTCAGCCTCGACCTCGCTCTGTTCAAGKTGTATGGTCAGAAGGCATTCGCTATGAAAGCCTTCGGCGGCAATCGAGATGGGAATGCCTTGAAGATGCTCTTACCCATTGAATTCCTCAGCAAGACCAACGGGTATAGGAAAAGTGGTCAATTCTTGACGGTCGCCGCTGGTCACCAGCTCTCGTTACCTCTTGTCCCGTTCGATGCTCCTGTCGAGAGTCTCGCAGGCTTATCAATGTGCTCTAGCGATCGGCGGCAGGTCGTGTCGACACCGCAACAACCTGCCGGCGGGAAGCAGAAAGTCATTACTTACCAGAGGCGTTCGGGCGGTGGTCCATCGGGAAACCTTCCGAAGAAGAAAGGGCTCCCCATACCTCCTTCGGATCTTCCTGGACGCTCGCGTTCTGGTGCCATCTCGCGCTTGCGGGACACCACTCAACGTGGAATGGACGAGGAGTCGGACGAAGAAACGGAAGAAGACGAACGGGTTCAGCGAATGCAATCGCGGTTGTTAGCGACACCTCGGCACATCCAGGGCGAAGGCTCTTGCGATGTGAATGTGGGGCGGGAAGCTGGTGGAGGTGCCGAAGCCCAAGTGAGGGACGATGGGGAATACGACGAGGATGAAGGGGAGTGTGGTACTGGAGAGCGCCGAGAACAGGTTGGAGGAGGGGCAGACCATATGGAGTGGGAAAAGGTTGCGGCGGACGGTGGGGTGGGCGGTGGTGTTGTGCGTGGTTCGGAAATGGGAGACGAGGAATTGGAAGACGAAGGAGAAGACGTGGATGCTTCCGCGGGGCTTGGTTCCATGGGGAGGGGAAAACGTACTGCACAATCGTCGCCAAAGCCTGCTGCGCCTAAGAAACAGGCTCGAAGAAAAGATGTGGACGAAGCTCGGGTCGCCTTGGATGCATCTCAAGGGACGCTTGGTGACGTCGATGTGAAATGCAAATCAAGTGCTCGGATTCGCAAAACGTCACAACCCAAGAAACCCATGCGGCCATCAAGGCGTCACAAATCGGACGACTCCAGCGACGATGCTGAAGGCGTGACCCCTCGTTTGCTCTCCCTCCCTAACGACGACGAGCAGGAAAGAAGAAACCCAGTGCGGTCAACATGATGCAGTGCTTCTTCCTCGAGTACGACGACGACGGCAAAAAGAGAAGAGACCCGCCTAGGGTGGTGATTGACGTCGTGCAGATTCTTCCAATTTCGGCGGGAGATATAGCCTTCAACCAGCGATCGCTGGACTTGGTCATCGTTGCAGGCATCGATGCGGCAATCGAGACATCAACTCGTCCAAGGTCCGCGGATGATCCGGCCCCGTGGGATCCACTGGAGCTGGTGCTGGCTCCGATTATGCCATCGCTTGAGCATTCGGACAGCCAAGGGATACGAGTCCTTCCGCAGTACTTCAATCCCGATAGGACAGGCGAGTATTTCTATTACCCGGTTGCCGGTCAACATACTTCCGAAGCTATGAAAAGAGCAGTGGCGAGGAAATCTGAAGCTGTTCAAGTGTTCGGCTTTCGGAATTATGATCGTGTACGGATTATTTATTTCAACGACGACCACACGAACGGGTACGTGTATGTTTCGACATACGACAACACGAGAGCTGATCGTGCTATGTTGCCATCGTTCCACCAAGCCTGCGAGGACATCAGAGGATTTTGGGACTTGAAGAAACGGATCGAGCCAGTGGGGAACATGTCCAAAGGGGATCCCACCAGTGTGGCGCACCAAGAAGAGTGGAGGAAATTTTTGAGACTTTGCATGGGGAAGTCATGTGAAAAATCGTTGTGGACGGAGTCGTTGTCTCCGAAGTGGCAAACGGACTGGACGAACAGAATGAGGGGATACATGAATGTTGCCATATGCAAGGACAGGATATGGCCATTGGTAAAGGAGTTTTTTCAGAAGTTCGAGGCGGGGGAGTTGCCGCTACACGACAACAAATGCCCGAAGGACTTGCCGGGGAAGCAGGAAGGGCGGTTGTCGGGCCAATTCACTGAAGAGGTGCAGGGGAAGAAGGAGGTGTTCCGTTGCATAGCGGCTAGGGACAGGGGACCGAACGCTACGGTGTCCTTCAAAGATCTCGTTCCGTCAAACTTCAAATGTTTTGGAGATATGACGGCACGAGAGAAAGAAATTGCATTGCGGTTGATGATAGATAAAAAAGTCATCGCCACTACTAGACTGGTTCCTCCTGGGAAGTTGAATATGACCAACCTCCTCGACATCATAATGCGCGAGAGGTACATGATGCGTCTGTTCAACTACATCGTCTTCAAATCGGATAACTGAGAAGCGAAAGAATGGAAGGACGGAAACTTTTTCGACTATGAAAACGTGGAGGAGAGGTTTGGCGTTAAGGCAGGCGAATGGGATGAGGAAAGTGATAGGATCCCTTTGGAATACGTCCGGAGGGTTCCGAAAAGACTCGACGGAGAGCAAGAGGAAAAAAAACAGAAAGGAGCTGGTCTAAAGGCCACGGAGGCGTTGTACAGGGACGCGCCATTCCACTTCAAGTACTTCGTGTACCACGCCATAGGGAAAGTGGACTTGTTGACAGCTGAGTTGCGACGGTTGAAGAACGTTGCGCTTCATCTGTGCTGGGAGAAGAAAGGGCGACGGGCGACATTGCTGTCGGTCAACATGCACCCGAAGGAGTTGCTGTCCGCGAATTGTGACTGCAGCCACGAACTTGAATTGCAAGGCCGCCATCCTCGATCTCGCAAACCCGAAGGACTGCCTTGCATGGTCGCCGGCCGATTTTGATGCTTTGCACAAAATGATGTCGAAATTGTGCGGCAGTAATTGGATTCTGATTGTTTTTGCCCCGCAAAAACAACATAAGATCGTCATGCGGCAACTGTACAACAAGGACGACGTAGAGGTGATACCTGGGACTTGAAAACGTTATCTCATTGGGACGGCTGTCAGCAAGTACGGAAACTTGCAAGCCGACTACAAGGACCCGATGACGGTCGTTCTGCATGCCGAGGGCGGCGACCTCAGGAAGGTCACGAGGATCCCTAGGTCGGAGGCGGAGCTAGTGGAGCTTCACGTTGAGGAGGAGAAGTTCAAGAGGTGCACAGCAAAGCACGGCGACGATGAAGGAAACGAACGACAGGAATATGGGCGGTGGGAACGACATCCGACACGGATGCAGAAGCTATGTAGTTCATTTCTGCATGAGGATCAGGAGGTGTTACTTATCGGAAAACCACATGCTGGACTTGTGTGGGAGCTTCTGCGCGCGGGCTATCATGTTTTTGCATGCGACGGGTCGTCCAAAGACATCTCGTACTTGACGAAGGCCATCGACATTCTTGGAAAGGACGCAAGAAACGATTGCACGGTTGAGAGGCAGAAGACGATGCAGTGCCCAGACAGAGATATGTACCACAAGCTCGGCAAGAAGAGAAACAAAATGTGGGACTATCTGTTCCAAGGCCAACCCAAATCGCCATTCGAGAATGACTACATAGTTCGCAAAGCGATGGCACAGGAAGCGTATGGTGGCTACCATAAAGCGCAGGTGGGTGCGTTTGCAATGTTCGTGGCGAGATGTGAACAAATGAGGTTCGCAGCCAATCAGGCTACGCTATCGTACGATGAGTACAACAAAATCGCCAAAACAACCGATTCATGGAATCCGATAGAGAGCGACGAGGAGACCGAAACATCGAACCTTGAAATCGAAGAGCGAGTGAAACGTTTGCGAGAGGGAATGCAGAGTGTGCCAGCATGCAGCGTGCCGAACGAGAATCGAGAAGAAGGTCTTACGAAATCGGGAGGTGCGAGCAGTCCAACACGTGACGTGACCGACAGGGCGAGTTCCGTTGAACAGATGCAAACGGATTCGCTTACGCCCCTCCAAGCACTTGAGAATACATTGATTCATGGCAATCGTCACGGGCTCTAGGGGAGGCATCGCACTCTTCGAGGAAACACGGAACACAACATGATGGCAGACGACGATGAGGATGACTTGGCGGTTCCAGATGCCCTTCCAAGGATGATGCCTGGTGATGATATTCCCGATCGCATTGTGCAGGTCAGTGAACAGCCGTACTTCATTGAAGACAAGGTGCCAGAAACGACGTTTGAGAAGTGGGGACACCACATTTTGTGGCACACAGACGTATTCGAGCCATGCATTTTCAAGGGGGAGTGGATGATGGCACTGCATCTAACATCAGGATGGAAAGTCAAAGCCAGACTGGCAGAAGTACCGTGGCTGAAAGTGAAGAAGCGCGAAATCGTATTCCGTGTCAAGTGCGAAAACGATGGAGCGGACGAGGCGGCTATTGAGCAGAAGGCTCAATTGCTATTCAATTTTCTGCACGCCAACAATCAGCTGGAATACAAACACAAGTTCTATGATTTGCCGTCAAGCCGGTCATACAAGACCATCGATTGGAAGATCGAACTTCCTGCATGTCAAGGCATCGAGACAATCTAGTTGGGATGCTCACAGCTTGGGGGCCGGTCGACGACACACTTTGCTGCCAGTGTCGGGGAAGCGATGAGTCAAACTAATGTCAAGATAATGAGGGTGGACAAGGGAACACGGAATGTCGATAAAGATCCTTCGAACGTTGCATCGTACGGGCCTCATCTTTTAACTCAGGCGGAAAACCATAGTGCATTGCCGATGAAGAGCCCTACTCCTTCCACAAACGTGGCAGTTTCAGATCGAATGTAACAAGGTGGGTATGCAGAACATGCGAGTGAGGTGCAAAAGATTCCGATGAGATGATGAAACTATTGGATGAGGCGGAGAAGGATCGGAAGAGGAAGCTTAAGGGATCAACCACGTCCCAGACGGTGATTAATTATATATCGTTAAGCGATGAAGGGGTAGACGTACATGTAGAGAGGCATGATGACAATGAGGATGCAAGGGATGATGTTGGTGAACAGAAGGAAGTGGATGACGAAGGTCGACCTGCGAGACAGTCGACAAGAGAAATAAAGAAAAAACACCCGGGTAATGTGTAGATATACGCAGAGGCTGAGTCCGGGGTGGCGTAACACTCTGTGTATGTGTGTTAGTGCTTGTACGCAACTCGGATAAATATTTTAGGCGATAGACGTGTGATATAATAATTGATTCCACAGTGAATTGGAGAGGATCTCTCTCTCTCTCTCTCTCTCTCTCTCTCTCTCTCTCTCTCTCTCTCTCTCTCTCTCTCTCTCTCTCT